GCTGACATAAGTAATCATTTACAAGTACTAAAGGTATAATTTATCAATTAATATATATATTTTTAATTATAAGCAACAATACCTCCAACAAATAGATGACAAATTTAACATTACTATTTTATAGTTACCGCAGACAAACCAGTATAATGAAAAAACTCTAATTGAAAGTCGATTACAAACTTATCTTTCATGCGACGACTGGTTATGTGCATACCACCGTTTTTCTTTTGGTATTGGATGGAAGCCGCCAAACAGATGTCAATACCCAAATCATATATTTCAAGTTGATAAAAAAGCACCAAAAATTAGATCCATACCTTTGAATACCCTTGCTACTTATAATAAAAGTAATTATCGCTACCTATTGGAGCCGTATTTTGCTTCAAGCACCTAAAAACTATTTCTATAGATAATATTATTGACATGATAGAACCAATTCCAACAGTAAAGTCTAGTTCTTATGTTGATAAAGTTTATGTTCCAGATTTAGCAATCATTTCAGATAAGACCATCGAAGAATCAAAATTAAAAGCTAGTTCTTTGTGTGAAGCACTAGGAGCAAGTCCACTGTCTTTTCACATAACGCAAAAGCGAATAGATGACTTAACACAAGGAACTAAACAGAAAGTTAAAAAAAAATTTGAGAAATGTAAAGTGCAGCTCGAGAAGATATTTGCTGAAGCAATTGCACCTGGTCAATCAGAAGCACTTATAACCCAAGTATTAAACAGTGAAGATGAAAATGTTGCAACTGAAATGGTTCCAGAAGACCTAATTGTACAAGTTAAGATGTTCCAAGAAAGCGATTCTTTAGGAAAAATTCTTTTGCTTTCAGTTGTTAATCATAATAAGTACACTAAAGAGACATTAATGAAAGTCTTTGATTTGCAAAAAACATCAAATAGAAAAAGGACGCAAGTTGCAGAAAGAAAACATTGGACTTTCCATACCAAAGAAGGGTAAGGTAAAAATATGCCGAATGCCTCAAGAAAAAATTGAACATTTTTTAGAATTTTTATTTTCTCGAGGTCTGCTTCAAGATGTAGCATATGGTATAAATAAAATAAAGTTTGACAACGGAGAGAAACAAAAAGTGGCTAATGCCATTTTGATGATGAAGTTTAGCCATACAATCACATTTTATAAAGAAATTTGCCTAGAAACTAATTATGTCCATATGTCAGATAGTTCTTTATGGAGAATTCTTTGTGGAATAAAAACTTCTCAAAGGAAATCTTTAGCTGGTCTTGATGATGTTACAGCAGCTGGCATGAACGGTTTCCAAACATTAATTGCCATTTCTGAGAAGTGGAAATATAAAAATGTTACTAAGTTTCTTGAAAAAGGTAAAAGGTATCTGAAGAGTAATTATCCTTCCAAATGTAGTGAAAATTCAACTTTGCATAGTCACTCAACTTCATTTGCCCTTTCGGATATAGATCCGGACTTAAACCAATCAAACATAACCGCTGACGATGAACAATGCATTGACTGTACTGACCTCATTTCAGTAATCAATCAGGTTCGTGAGTTGGTTATACAAAGTGAAGATGAAGATCTACTATATGATTTAAATGTGGCTACAGAAGATGTTGAAGCCTATATGAAACATCAAATTCGTGATGCGCAGCAAAAAATGGCCAAAATAATGGCTTTTGAGCAACTTGATGAGGAAACAGGATTTTGGCTAAAGGATTTTTGTCAAAAAATATTGCCCGCTAAATTCCGTGAAGGCCAAAAAGAATATTTTGGGAAAAAAGGAATGACTCTACATGTTGATGTCTTCTTCTTCTATGAAAATGATCGAATGAAAAAAAAAGTGTATTTTACTGCTGTATATAGATGTGAGCAAAGCCTTGTTGATGTACTCTGTCTCGCTGATGTTGTTTTGGCCAAAGTTAAAAATGATTTTCCTTGTTTAAAGAATCTTTATGCTAAGTCAGATAATGCATCATCTTATCATGGAAACTTCTACTTAGAAGCCCTTTACAATATTTGCAAAGCAAAACAATTTTTTCTTAAAAGGTATGATTACAACGAGCCTTCGCGTGGAAACGATCAATGTGATAGAGAGTCAGCAGGAGCGAAATGTGTCATTAGGAGTTTTGTTGACGCAGGAAACAATTTATTGACTGCAGAAGATCTTTATGAGGCTCTTCATAATGGTAAAGGAATTCAAAACGCTGATGTTGCTGTAGTTATAATAAATTCCAAAGCCTCTATTTTATCAGGATCAAATCTGATTCCCAACATAAGCAGTTATCATTCTTTTCAGTTTTTCCCTGATCACATGATAATGTGGAGATACTTCCGAATTGGTAAAGGTAAAAAATGGAACTATACAAATGTGACATTCCATACTTCAGTTGAAATTGTTAAGCCCTTTAGTTCGACTTGCAAAATTTATACTGCCCCAACAATTTCCAAAAAACCACGTGTTGATAGAAGAGTTAACACTTTAAAGTTTTGTACACAATTTGGTTGCACTGATTCATTTTTTGACAATGAATCATTAGAAGTACACTTGTTATCAGAAAACCACAATTTTCAATCTGTGAAGAAATCAATGGTAGACAGAGCAAAACTATTTTATATCAACAAAATGAAAATTTCAAACCTAAATTCTTATGATTATCTGCCGTCATCCCAATCTGTCATTAAAGGGATTGAAAACTTCACAGACATCACTGGGTGGGCATTACCAAAAAGAAAAGTGTTCAGATATTCTTCAAAGCAGAAAACATTGTTAATGCAGATGTTTATGTCTGGAGAAGAACAAGGGAAAAAAATGAGCCCAGAGCAGGTTCACCAGCAGCTGAGGACAAAGTTAAAGCCAAGTGAATATGTGACAGCTCAACAAATTCGATCATTATTCTCTAGGCGAGTAAATTTACTTCTATATTTACTGATACCCAAAGTATGAATGATATAAAATTTAATTTTATTCTTTTCTTGAGTTTTAAGATAAATATTTTAAATTTACTTTCATGCTTCAAGTACATTTTTTTAGATGGAGTAAACAAAAAAGAGAAGGAAAGCTAGTTACCATTTTTTGTGAAGATGTTAATCTAACTGATGACATGATTGATCTGACTGATGATGCGAGACATACAAGTCAAAATAAAGATGATGATTTAAACAACGATATTCAGCTCATAGCAAAGGAGTTAGCAGCTGATTTTCAAATTGGTGATTGGGTTGCTATTGAGTATAATATGCAGTGGTATCCTGCAATAATTCAAAGTGTAAGACGTTATAACATCAAAATATTTAATTTTTGAGTATTAGATCTTTTTTATTAAGTTGTATAATTATTAATTTATTAACCACAGCATTTAAATGTAAGAAATATTCAGAAAGCACCAATGATTAGACGTTGTTTTACTTTTAACTTAACCCTGTAGGTCAATCGTGACAATGTTCATGTTTCTTGTATGGAATATTCTACTACACCTGGAAAAAACTGTTTCAAGTGGCCAACCAAGGAAAATATTCTCCAATATTTATACCTTGACGTTATTTGTAGGATTGATGCACCAACACCAACTAATCAAAGAGGGGACTATTCTCTCTCAATAGACGATATGTATAACATAGAAATTCAGATTGACAGATAAACTTCTTTAAAACTTTATTTGGTTTGCTTTCTTAAACAAGTTGTATTTGAAAAAACGTTTATCCGAAATTTAAATAATTGTTTTAACAATGATGTAAACACTTCAAAGTGAGTGATGTTTGGATCTTTTTCTCATTAAAGAAGCTTAGAAAATAACTTTTATCAAGCGCTTTTATACAGTTTTTTGTAATAAAAATGTATTTTTTATTTATTTTTAATTTGAGTACTAATTAATAACGAATTATAGAAGCCGTTGCTAAGCATATCTATGTCGTTGCTAGGGTATTTTGTTGGTTAAGAATGTGGCAAAATTAGACTATTTCTAGGACTTCTCTACGCTTTTTATCGCTTAAGCACATGAATTTTTTTTCAGATATAGGAAGATGCATGTATAAGGAAACGAAATAACTTATACACTTCATGGCAGACCTAAGGCCACGATTGTTATTTGTAATCTAACAAAGCGTATTAACCGCGAAAATTCATTTTTGGAAGCTTACTCTTTCCCAGACTCTTGCATACTCATAATTTTTTTTCTATAAATTCAATGTATACCTTATTGGCTTTCAAAAGCAGTTAAGTAAATTATGTGCAAGTAATGGCCTAAGGAGATATAAATGGTCAAAGTACGGGTAAAATTTCAAATTTAGCGGTTTTGAACCGTGATTTCTAGACAATAAAAAATGTAAACATTTTAAATTTTTATTTTAACCAGAGAAATCCACTCAGAGTAGTAGAAATAAGAAAAATAAATGAGTTTCTCAAATTCATATTGCTAAAATTGCCCCTAAAAGTAGTAATTCCGTTCCATGCACCAATATTTTTACAAAATGGGCCAAATTTCAGCCCCCGATATTTTCGCAAATAATGGGAGTTTTCGAAAAAAAATTTAACTGTGGCCTAATTTCATTGTTTTCTATAAGATATCTGAAAATGAAGAGATTTTGAAGACATCACTTCCAGACTTTGCCGATTTTGCCTATATTTCTCAGATAATGGCTCTTAAATAAAAGAGTGGTATTTAAAGATTATTGATAAGCTGCAACAAATGTTGATTCATATAGATTATATAATGTATTAACTTTAATTAATTAATTTTTTTAAGCCTTTTTATAGTACTTTTAAAGTAGTAAAAGTATTTGTATTAAGATGTTTATATGATGATTGTATTGCAATAATAAATACTACTTAAATATTTTATGACTACTTAAATATTTATGACTATTACTTACTTATTATATTATGAATATTACTTACTTAATTACTTAATTATTATATTTATGAGTATTACTTGCTTAATTATTTATGACTACTTAAATATTTTATGATAAAAAATGAAAAACAGTAACATACTATTACAGTACAAAGATTTTATTTGATTTTGAGTATAATTACGTTTTGATGCAAATCAAGTCTTCAAACTGTTACTAACAGTTTTAGGGGTACTTGAGTTACTTTACACTAAAGTAACTTGAGTTACTTTAGACTAAAGTAACTTTTTTAGTACTAAATAAAGTTGAGTACAAAAAAACATAAGAATGTTAAGTTATTATTGTACTAAACTAAACCTATTTTTAAGGTTATAATATTTAAAAAATATTAATTTCATTCTCTATTTAAAAATAAATTTATAAAACCATTACAGACATGCCTAGAAAATGCTCAGTAGGTAATTGTCGTGGAAATTATGACAGTGCAAATGAGCATGTAAAAGTTTACAAATTTCCAAGTGACAAAGAATTATGTGAAAGATGGTTAGCAGCTTTACCAAATAAAATTCAATCACCAACAGACAATATGGGTGTTTGTGAAAAGCACTGGCCTTTGGGGTGTAGTATGCACTATCCAAAAAGATATAAATATCAGGTGAGTCGAATTCATATATATAAACAAAAATTTCAAATCAATAATGTAGTTATACTTGTAAGCTTTATTTAGTTCAAATTAAATAGATAATCTAAAATCAATGGAAACTTTTTAGATTCCATCAGATCCTCCTTCACTATTTTCTAGGTGTTTTCCTTCAATGTTACGACAAACAGGCAAAACATTCCGTCAAACAAATTTTGAAAAAATTTCAATTGAATCAAGAAACTCATTCTGTGATGAACTCGATTCTTTCAACAAGATTGATAAAATAAAAAAGTCAAACAGTTTCTTACAGATGTAAAGCAGCGGTAAGAAAATTTCTAATTAAATATAATTTTTGTAGGATTTTTTTGTGTTAGTATTACTAATAAATAATTCTTTTAAATATTTCAAGGTTTCCTGATTATTTTGTTGTTACAAATGCATTGGATCTGACTGTTTTTAATATGACATTTATTTATTGCAAGAGATTGAATGTACATATGGAGAAAAATCTGATGAAATAAATTTTTTGATTGAACAACTACAACTGCAGATGATGCCTGTGAGAGGCAAGCGTTACTCTACGCTAGTTGTACGACGAGCTTTAGAACTATACCTTTCTTCAAGATGCTGTTATCGAATTCTTTGTGATACACTTTCACTCCCACATCCAAGAACTCTTAAACTAAAATTAGGCAGAATCGGTGAAGTAGGAACACAAAAGGAATGTGAAGAATGTATTAAAACCGTGTTTAAAGCATTAACTATTTCGGAAAAACGTTGCTGCCTGCTATTTGATGAGATGTATGTGAAACCAAGTATACGTTTTCGTGGATGTCATTTAATTGGTTATAGTGAAGACAATCCTGCTGAAATTGCTAAGACAATTCTTTGTTTTATGATTAAGCCAATGTTTGGAAAACCAGCTTTTGTGTGTCGTATGGCCCCAGTTTATAAGCTATCTGGCATTTTTGTACAAAATTTAATTGTTGAAATCACACAGACAGTTGCTAAACTTGGTGGAGTAATTTTATGCCTTATCTCAGACAATCTTCCCACAAATCATAGCATATATCAATTTTTTGCTTTAAGTTTAAATGAGTCATGGCTTGGTAATATTTGCAACCAAAGTATAATAATGCTTCATGATCCAGTGCACTTGTTTAAATCAATTCGAAATAACTGGCTTACAGAAAAAACTGGAACAATTCATCTGACAATAAATAGTCAATTATTTAAAGGATATTGGAAAGATTTGGTAAGTTTATATGAAAAAGAAAAAAATAATGTTATCAAGTTGACAAATCTTTCATACAAAGCTATTCATCCAGGTGTAATTGATCGACAAAATGTCACCCATATGTGTGCTGTTGTTAATGAGAAGACTGTAGCAGCCCTTAAAATTTGTGATTTTAAAGAGACAAGCGAGTTCCTTGAAAGAATATTATTGATATGGAGTTACCTTAATATTAAACAAGAAGGTATGGACATACGTTTAAATGATCCAAATAGAGCTTCATACAAATATGTAAATGATAAACGACTTCAAGAGATTTTGACATTTGCTGAAGCTGTTGCAAAAATGCCAGGAGGAAAGGGCTGGAAGCGGAACAAATCATTCACTAGTGAAACGAAAATTTCTTTGTTGAATATGCTTTACGGAATTGTAGATTTAATCCGAAAATTGCTGAATGAAGATCATCAATATGTTCTTCCCGGAATATTTCAGACAGATCGGTTAGAAGGAGAATTTGAAATATACAGGTAGTTAAATAATTCCTTACCTATTTATGATCAGATTGATATTGTTGTTATTACATTTAAGCAGGGTCAGACTGGCACTGAAGGGCCCGGGGGCAAAAATAAATTAAATCCTTAATCACATATTTTTTGGTTATAAGTAGAAATAACTTTTATTTAGAAATAACTGGTATTTTGTAACATCAAAAATGATATTTCATAGAAATAACTATTTTTATGTATTTTTTATGTATTTTATTAAATTTTTATGTATTTTTTGTGGCGGGGGCTCTGGGGTAAATCCCTCCCAACCCCCCTCACCAATCTGACCCTACATTTAAGAACACTAATTTTCGTATGTATCTTTAAATAAAATTCAAATTATATATAGTTTAGATTTTTTTATGCCAGGCAACTTTGTGGAGGCAGTTATCATGTTTCGGTTGAAGAAGTTAAAAATAGTCTTCGTTTACAACGCCTGAAGTTGTTTAGTAAATTGGATGCTATGGGTGTACCTATTTCTCAATGCTCAATTATTCAATCAGAGTGTTGTCAATTAGATCTGAATGAGGATGACATTAGTTATCTTGATACATCTTTCTCTTCAATTGATGCAATTTCCGAAGAAGAAAATGCTGCCCTATATTACATTTCGGGTTATGTCCAGCATAAATTTTTACCAAGTATATCCGTATCTGGTACCTTTGTTACCAATGCATCTGAGTTTACTGAGTTAGTATCTCGTGGTCGACTATGTCACCCTACTGAGGATCTATTTCAATATGTCAGATATGCGTATTCTCTTTTTATTTTATTACCTAATGCAGAGATGCGGTTCCAGTGTGTTAGATACATTTCTAAACTTTTTATATATTTCTATACAGCTTTACCTTTCGATTTACAAGCATTACCAATCAACACAGTTGTTTCCACCATTTTGAATTGTTTTTTCAAGGGTCTAACGAAATTGAATGAATCGTCAGACAAAGTTTCTTTAAATATTGAAGACCGCAAAGTTAAAAAGTTTTGCAAATAAATCAAACAACACGCAATATGTGGTTAAAATGGTTATTTTTTAAAATTGTTAACATTGTTTTAACACAGAAGTTAGATCATTTTAGATAATCTACTTTTTTTGTTGTTGAATTTTGAAAATTCTTATATTTATAATTATATTTATTATTTAAAATTCTTATATTTATTAATGTTTGAAGATTAATAAATTATGAATTAATTTTAATTTTTAATGAAATGATTTAAATGGTTTCAAGTAATTAAATTTTATAGGATCCCTTTATTTACTGCATAAGATCCTTTGATTAACTACATAAGATCAATTTATTTACTAATTAAAGATTAAAGTTACTAATCCAGGCCTTATAAAAATAAGATTCCTTTTTTACTATAAATTGTCATAAATTTAATGAGTTATGAGATTAAGATGTTATTTAATGAGAAACAAAAAATAACTCTGAATAACTGTTAATATTAGTATCAAAATCATTTAAGTGTTAAACTTCAAAAATTTTTCGAACATATTCAACTTTCAGCCCTCTCGTCAAAATCGCATGAAATCGAAGTTGCGCGTCCCGGTATTTTAGTGGTCCCTGGTATATACATACATTGGAACAACGTTGGATTTTATACAGTGGATCAACGTTGCGTTTGCATCGAGAAAAGGCAGATATACAAATATATACTTTTATAATTTAAGAGAATTATTTCTCATTTAAATATTTCAGTTGATTATGAATTAGGGTTGTTAACCGGAGGATTTCGTGCAATTCCGGAAAAACAACATTCTTTCGTAAGGAGATTTGAGAACACGGAATTACATTTTTTCGTACCGAATGTTACAAAACATATAAAATCGCCGATGTTCATTTCGCAAAAGCCACTTCCGAAATTTAGCATTTCGCAAGTTGACATACGAAACAAAACTATTTTGCAACATACGAAAGTAGCGGTTTCGGAAGTCGCACTTGCAAAACAAACATTTTCGCCAAACGACGTTTTGAAGTCTATAAAGAAAATTTGTTTGCCAGACTGATTTTAATTGTAAAAATTAACATCTTTAAATCCCAAAATGTTTATAATGAATTTTTATTTTCAGTATAATAACTATTAAATTTTTATGGTTTTATATTTAGAAATATTGATAAAAAATAAAACTTCTTTCGAAACGAAAGTATTTCGGATCACAACATACGAAAGAATTCTTAACGGAAATAAACTTACGAAACGTGCCATAATAAATATATACAACGATGTTTTTTGAACTCATTACGTATATAAAAAATAAGAATGATGGGTAGGAATATACATGTTTTTTTTTTTAAAGCATATGAAATTTTTGAAACAGGTTCGAATATGTTTAAGCAAATAGTAAAAAGAGGCTCAAAAATATGCTTTAGCTTAAGCATATTTCTGATAAAATATACCTATTTCAATAATTTCTAAAAGTGTGCACGTTACTAAAGTTCTAGCAGATTTTAAAGGTATGTAGAGTCCTGTTTGAATACGCTTTTCGAAGTATAGATCTTAGAAAAAATTGTTTTTTAATTTTAATAAGATGTAAATTTGAGTATAAGATTGTATAGTTCAATCAGTTAGATACGTGATAATTCGCCGCAGAGATCCGGGTTCGCATCCCGCAGCCATTGTAACTTTTGTTCATCAAACTCTTTTTACTTAAGATAGCATTTTTTGACCTCCATGTTCTATATTACAGATCTTTCGTCACCTTCACAATAGTGACAACCTCTCTTCTGTTAGTTATTCTTTTAAGATTGAGTTCATTGTGCTTAATTCAACACGTTTCCCTTGCTTTACTAAGTTCTACTTAAATTATGATGAAATGTACGTAAAACAACTTTTTCAAATAATATAAATCATTTTGCTTTAAATTTTTTAGTTTTTGTACTTGACATCTGTCCTAAAAACTTTGTAATAATTTCTAGCTAACTCTGAGTCTAATATAACCATTTCTGAATATAATTTCCCTAAGGCTCCTACAGCCTATTGTGTTCCATTAAAAGTAACTAGTTTTTGAGTCCAGATATTAATTATAAGCATCTAAAGGTTCACATTACTATTCATTTTCCTGATATATAGATTCCTATTTGCATACGTATCTCTTTCTGTAAATTCTGTTTTATATAGTTTCTTAATTATATATTAAATAAATATTACTATTCACTTAGTAGAATGAACGTATACCTCATTCAGTTAAGACATTTGGCCGCGTAGACCCAGGTTCACATCCCGCTGTTTCACATATATTTCTTCTCTTTTTACTCTTTCTTATATCATTTACCTTTAGAGAGATCTCTCGTTCTTTATAATAAAGTATTTAATTGTTTATCACACATCCTCTTTATACTTTTTAAAAAGAAAGGCATACTGTTTATCTGTTCATTGAGAGTCCAACTTAACGGGATTTTACTGTATGTATATATATATATATATATATATATATATATATATATATATATATATATATATATATATATATATATACACATATATACATATATATACAGTAAAATCCCGTTAATGTATATATATATATATATATATATATATATATATATATATATATATATATATATATATATATATATATATATATATATATGTATATATATATATATATATATATATATATATATATATATATATATATATATATATATATATATATGTATATATATATATATACATATATATATATATATATATATATATATATATATATATATATATATATATATATATATATATATATATTAGGTATATTTGAATAAACATTTGAAGAATCATTTGACAACATTTTTTTATAATTTTATAATTTATTATTTAAACTGTTAACAGTTAATATCTTAAATATATCGTAACATAAAATCTTTTGCGTCTTTTTCGTAACTACACATTCCGGAATGCTTTTTCCGTAAGTGTTCTTACGAAATGATTTGTTTCGCAAGTTTTCTTTCGCAATGCTTTATTACGGAATTTTATTTACTATTTATATTTTCGTATAGCGCGTTACGGAATGTGCATTTTTGCATGTGCAACTTCCGCAATAACAATTCTGTTACGGTAGATAAAGGTGCGAAATTTTCGCAAGTTTTGTTTTTCGGCGAACAACCGTATTATGAATATATATTTTTCACTTTTTTATGCAATGAAATATCAAGCCACAAGCAAAGCAAACATGAATAATGCCTCTTTAACTAGATGCAACATTGAAATAAAAATGGTAGAATAAATATAAATTTAAAATTATAGTGCGTTAAATATATAATATTTTAAATTTTATATGTATATTTTTAACATAAAACAAACTAATTAAATTCCGATCAAGTGTAAAAATAAAGGTGTGTAAATGTAAAATATAGCGTTGAATCAACTTTAAATACAACGTTTTGCCAACGTAAAATACAACATTGCGCCAACGTAAAATACAACGTTGCGCCAACGTAAAATACAACGTTGCGCCAACGTAAAACATTACGCAATGCCGACTTAAAATAGAATGTTAAACCAACGTTGTTTTTTGGTTGTTGGCGACGTCGCATTTGTAACCATAATGATACAAAAACAATGTTGGCGGTCGATGTTAGGCCAACGCAATGCACAACATTGTTATAACGTTTTATCAACGTATGTGTGCTAGCTGGGTAAGAAGAATTTCCTACGAATTTTTCTACGATTACGCTAGAATTTACAACTATGAATATATCACACAAAAAAGTGTTTATACTATAAACACTTTTTTTGCTATAAATTATAGCAACTACTCATATTACGCATATACTAGTTATAATGAATTCAAATAAACATGAAACGAAAGTTTAAGTAAAATTTAAGTGAAAAATTATTCAAATACAAAAGCTAAAAGAATTTACAAGTTAAAAAATTTAAATTTATTTCTATGTAACAAAATGTACCGCTATATTATATAAAATTATTTGTGTGTATTCGAAAATTTAGTTTTTTACATGTTTAAATATTTAAGAAGAGTTTAATTAAACTCCCGGTGAAAACGCTTTGAGCAAGAGTCAATTTTTTTGAAATTGATTAACTGGGGGGGTAATTGATAACTCGGGGTAATTGATTACTGGGGGTAATTGATAACTGGGGGTAATTTATTATAAAACAAATTTTGTATTTGCCATAATATAGAATACTTAAGGTAGCAGATCCCCTTAAAAATCAAAAAAAAATTCAAATTTTTTTTTTACTTAATTTTTATTCAAAATTTAATGGAGATTATTAATATGAAAACAGTTTCTTATAATTCAATTTAGTTTTTTAAATATTTGTTTTAGTTGACCATAGTTTTTCAGGTTTCCCTAGTTACCGCCATTGCAACGGGTTTGATTATTGGTTTTTTAACTTTCTAGTCAGCTTTTTGGAGGAAACTTCAGTCTTATAAGAATCTTGTTTGCCTAATGTTTGTACCAGTGCTCAAAACAACTTTAGGATAAACTCCGCAGCTTGAACGTTACAAATTAGAATCACAACTTAGACTATATTTGAAAGCTTCTACTAAAACTTTTAGTAGAAGCTTTCAAATATAGTCTAAGTTGTGATTTATGATGAGTGGCTTTTAGTAAAAGCCACTTTTACTTCAAATTTGTTTGCAACTTTTAAACAAAAAAATGACTTGCAGTACGATTAGAAAACGTAAATACAAGTTTAAAGAAAATCGGTACACATGCAATGATAAACAAAAAAGTAGTTTACCTTCATCGCCAATTGCAAGTTGTACAAGTGCAAAAAAGTTATTTTCGAAAACGAAAACTACTCAAAATATTGAGTGTAACAATGAAGATTACAAGAACAATTATAACTTTATTATGAACTTTTCTATATTAAAAAGAATATTTTTTGTCCTGAATGTGGAAATAAAATTACTTTGCATGATAACATTGTGAAAAAATGGAATTTTGTTTATAACTTGAAATTTATTTGTGAAAGCTGTGATAAAATTATAGACATTTAAAACTTCAGCAATAATTAAAAGATGAATTTTAAAGAAATTAAAATTAAAAGAATAATTAAAAGAAGTTAATACACAAGTTGTTGTTGCTTTTAGAGAAATTGGATAGAATCATTTAATCGTTGCATGAATATGTCAAGACTGATGACAAAAAAAAACTATGGTAAAATAACAAAATTACTTCACAGTGCTTATGTTGAA